GGGCCTACCTACCTCTGCTTGTCACTGCTGCCGGGCCCATCCACCTCTGCGAACTGCCACGGGGCCTGTATGTCTCTGCCGGTTGCCGCTGGGCCTGTATGTCCCTGTTGGCCACTGCCACCGGGCCCTTCCACCTCCGCAAGTTGCCGACCTGCATCCGCCTGTCTCCACCACGTGGCCTGTCCACCTCTGTGGGCCGCCGCCAGGCCTGAATGTCTCTGTCGGCCGCCGCCACCGGTCCTGTCCACCTCCGTCTGCTTATCTCTGCCGCAGGGCCTGTCCACCTCTGTGGACCGCCGCTGGGCCTAAATGTCCCTGTCAGCCACTGCCGCCGGACCCGTCTACCTCCGCGGGCCGCTGCCACAGGCCTACCTGCGTCTGCTTGTCTCCGCCATCTTCGGGTGTTTTCTTTTTAATAATATCATAGAAAAAAAGCTACTTAAATGTGATCAGAAATTTAAAGATAACATAAGAGTGGTGAATGTGATTGTGCACTATATTTGAAAGCGAGATTCTAAATTTCATTATTCACAAACTGAAAAGTGCCCCAGGAAACTGGGAGTATTTAAACTTATTCCTTTGTGGTGTTCACCCGAATGGCATGTAGGTTTATAGAACTCTTACAACCAGAAGCAAAAGGACCAAAACCTTGATAGAAAAATGAGGGAATGCATTAACAGATCATTCACAAAATAAAAGATAGCTAGCCCTAAGTATGTAAGTGTATATTACACATCACTTTTAATTGCATAAATGAAAATCAAAATTATATTCAAAGTGTCATCTATCAGAGGAGCAAACAGTTTTTCAAACCTGACTGTATTGTGCTGTGAGGTTTTGTGAACAAACTCTGTTACATTGTAATGGAAATGTCAAACTGAGTAAATCAAATGGTAGCAAATATGTGGAAGAGGGGCTCACTCCTACATGACTTGTCAGAGCTTAAAACAGTGTAGCCACTTGGAGAAACATTTGGGTGGCTTCTTTAAAACTTTACCTGCTCTTGTGCTTCTGGACTCTTCCCGCATAAATAAAACATATCCATTTCCCCCTACATTTATGGACACACACACACATATACATATATACATGCATGTATGTATATAAATATGCATATAAACACACACATACATACACACACAAACACACGCACAGACACACACACAGACACATACAGACACACACACACACACACATATATATATATGAGAGAGAGAGAGAGAGAGAGAGAGAGAGAGAGAGAGAGAGAGAGAGAATAACTTACATGATGCCATATAGCTTCTGAAACTCTTAAAGAAACAAAGTGCTGGAGGAATCTTTTGTTCGACATTCAGATTTGATTGCTGTTGTTTGCACAAAGTACATTACCCTTGTTTTTCTTTTAAATAGCTGTTGAATCCATGAGAACTCCCAGTTAAGCTTGGTATACAGGCTGGTTGTCAGGAGAAAATGACCATGGCACCAGAGTTTGAAACTTACAAAGTAAATTTAGCAAAGATTTTTTTTTTTAATGAAGTATTTTTGCTAATCTCGTGTGGCCCATTTCTTCAAATTCCAGTCAATATCAGAGATGCACAGTGATGTAATACCATCAAAGGAAGAGACAGGAAGTCTTCAGATAACATGGATGTCTGCATACAACATCTAAGGAGTCTGCAAAATAAACACAAATAAAGAACCACTAATGAGTTCAGTACATCACAGGGAGCATGATAAACATATAGAAGTAAATCAATAAGAGGTCAATATGCTAGCACTAAGCCTGTGAACACCCTGGCTAAAAGCCCATTTAAATCTATAAGCTCAAGAAGCAAATAAAATAGGGAAAGTTTGCAATAAACTAAGTCTGCAATTTGTATGCTGACAACCTGCAGTGTTGATGAATTAAGCGAAAAGATATATGTTGAAAGTCTCAACGTTATGAAGCTTCCTCTTATCCCCCAAACTAATATCCAAGTTTACTACAATGCCTATCAGGACACTAGCAAAGTACTTAGTAGATTTAAACTTGACTGTTCTAGACTTCATATGGAGATCCAAAGAGAATGAGATAGATAAAGCTATTTTGAAAGAGCATTAGAAACAGCAGTAGGAGCAAAAACTATACATGTTGATGAGGGATATACAGCCATCAAAAGGATAAAATGGAGGGCTCAGGACTACCCTTACACTACAGTGGGCAACTGATTTTTGACTAATGTGAAAAAGCAATTTAATGACAGAAAGATATCCTTCCCCAAAAGAGACAGAATGACAAAGAATTAATGTCAATCTGGTATTATCCCATAGACAACCTGTTAACCCCAAATGACTTGTGGGTTTCAGTTGAATACATACACATTTCCATACTCACAGTATTCTGGAGGCTGAGACAGGTAGATTGTGAATTCAAGCTATATGGTGAATAGAAGTCCAGACTGGGCTACACAGCTAGATCCTGTCATATATATTCATATATATATATATATATATATATATTCATATATATATTCATATATATATATATTTGTACTAATTTTACTCTTAATAGGACATAGGCAAAAGACATGAACAGACATCTTACTGAAAAGAACGTACTCATGACAAATTAGTCTTGGAGGACTTGGTGTACAGCTCAGCCATAGGATATTTGCCTGGTAAATGTAAGGCTGTAGGTGAGAGCCTTGATATGCAAAACAAATAAGCAAGCAAAACACAAAGAGAAAAACAACACTTAAAAAGATGAAAATCACCAACTGGTAAAGTTTAATCTTATTTATTTGTTGTTGTGAGTGTGGGCACATGTGTCCTATGTCACACATGTGGAAGTTAGAGGAAACCTTTATGAAGTTTCTTCTCTTCTTCCACTTTGGGCTAGTTTCTGGGGAGATTATGTGTAGGGTGCCAGGCTTGTACAGCAAACACCTTTACCTGCTCAGCCATCTCACAGGTCCCATAGAGCAACTTAAACATACAAAGAGCTATTATCACATGCCAGCCACTAAAATAAAAAAAAAAAATGGTCAGAATGGAAGATGCTGGTGAATAGCTGGAGATGCAGGCTCTCTCCTAGTATATGTGTCAGAATGTGGAATGGTGCAGCCACTTTGAGAAGCAGTTTGGTGCAAGTGCTTTTCCACTTGGGGCACTTCTTTTGTATACGTACCAATGGATGCACACAGCAGAACTTTTATAAGGACGTTCATGTCAGTTTGATTCTTTAAAGCCCAGGGAAAACATTATTGAGTTGACAAAATCATATAAACTGTAAGCACATTTATGTTGGTTAAGATATAGATGGGCAGGATGGTACGGGTATAAGAGGGCCAAGGCAGAGGTGCTTGGATTCACAGAATGTTCCGTGTCTTGGCTGTATCAAATGCCAGCATCCTGGTGGTGGTCCCTGTAGTTTGGAGATACAGAGAACTGAAGGAGATTAAGGTTGTTCAGGACAACTATGCGTTGTCTAAGAAAGAAAACCAACAACAGCAACAAAAACAAAACCTTCATCTTGGATCTAATCCCAAACCAGAAACAAATATAGTGGCTGGAAATTAGTAAAGTTTGAAGACTGTGGATTAGATGATTTTAACATCCATTTCCTGATTTTCATACCTGCTCTGATTTGGAAAAATCTGGCTGAAAGTCACAGGAAATATTTTGTGTGTAACATTTTAACCTTCCTGTGAATGTACCATTATTCTAAAAAAAAATATAAAAAAATTTAAATGTCTTTGAATTATAAATTTGTGTTAGACAAATTGGTGAGAAAAATAGGCTTCTTTTTTTTTATATTGCATGATGTTTTCATTTTTATTGTTCTCAGTGTGGCAGACATCCTGGCAGATGGCAAGTGACCATGGAGGTCAGTTCAAACTGAGGAGTGACCATCTGAGCTTTTATTTTCATTCATATATATATATATGTTTCCTTTTATTACAGATTCACTTTATGTATGATACATTATATATACAATAGTCATGCTTTCAAATACGTTAGTTATGTAAGCTCCTAAACATTTTGAACTGCAAGATCGGCTGCTATGTGCATCCTTTCCTAACTGTTCAAGTGATTGTCTTTCCTTTCAAAGGGAAAACTTCCAACCAAGTAGGTGGCTGCTGTGACAGGAGAAGGCTGTGGCTTGTTAGTATGCCCTGGCCTGACAGTAGGAGAATCGGGTCCCCTCCACCTGTCATCTCTCCACGTTGGTGTCATTTATTTTTCCCATCCTGCTTCTCAGTTGCAGGGCAACAGCAGCCAGAGCTATGCCATCTCCAGCTGTAGTCAGAGCAGCATAAATATTAGTGGTAATTGTACAGTACAGTAATTGCAAATAGCAGTGATTAATTCTTGCAATAATAGCTGTCCTAAGAACAATTGATTTCCCTTCCAGTCATGCCCAGGTTTCCCACGAGAAAGCTTTCAAATGGTTATTATTTTTAGTTTAAGCTTTCCAGAGAAAAGGGAAGATGAAAAGAATGGGATTTCTTTGGACTTGTCAGCCCTGGTTCTTCATTAGTGGGAGGAGTAAGGGCATATGTGTCTCTGCATGTCCAAGGAATGACCTCGCTCCCCAGGAAAATCAGCCTGATTTGGAAAGTAGGAAACGTTACCACTTGCTAAGTGTGGCTCACACAAGCATGGCTCCAAGTTTCCTTAACACTGAGATGACCCAGTGTAGGAATTTCTTACCTATGTACTGTAAGTCCCTTTTGTGTAAGTCTTATCCAGTACTCTGCAATTTATTTTTGAAGGCTTCGTGATGTTACTATCTAAGTAACATTTCCATTTAATATATGCTAAAGGGTAGGAATGTGAGGCAGTAATTGCCTCATTCAAATCATCGAAGAAGTCAGTGTTGGACCTGAACTTTAAGATTAAGTCATCACAACTGCTATTTTTACCATCTGATTAAGAAGCTGGACTAAAATTTCAGGGCTAGTTCCCCTCTCTGCCACCCACTTCTCTACTTTTTTGGCTAATCTCGTGTTCACCAATGCCATTTACACTGTATCCTCCTGGCTTCAGTACTCAGTGAGTGCCTTTCAATTTACAGGCAAAGTTAACTGTGTTAAAAATCATGAAACAGGAGGATACAATTAACTAACTATGGTCAAATCTTCTGATCATCAAAGTAGATGAATCATTAAGTTTTCAGCAGTATGTACTTGGATGCATAAGTCAAGCATTGGAAATAAGAATTCTTAAATGTTCAGTGTGTATTAGCCTTCTGTCTATTCTCATATACCTGTGCTTCCCAAAAGAAATATATTCGGAAATGAAACCAATCATGTTCTTGTTTTCTTCAGGTTCTTTAAGACTAAAGATACCATGAAGGCAAATGACCTGTGTCCCTTGTATCCCTCTGTCTTCACTAGTGCATTGTGTAGGACAACACTTGCAACATTGAGCTGAGGTTGTAGTTGTTATTTTTGTTTGCTGTTTCATAGCCCAGGCTAGCATAGAAATTGCCATCCTCCTGCCTCAGCTTCCTGAATGCTGGCCATAATTATAGGCATGCTTCACTGTATCTAGTTCAGTCTCAATAAATGTTAAAGGAGCACATGAATGGATAATGTGCTCATATTCTCCCCATTTGTTCCAAGATGACTGATCCTGGATTTCTTGGCTGCCATACTAATCTTACAGAACTGTATGTCCCAGGAAGAGAAGGCTTTGACTTCTGTCAATTACCTCCCATTGTATTCCACAGCGAACATTTGTTATCTCATAGTTTCGCAGTGTTACAACCCTTTGTGGCCTTTCTGAGAGTGGCTCATTGGGAAGTAGGGGCTCAGTGGGAAGAGGAAAGGCAAAGAAAAAGATAAGAGGGATGTGATCAAAGTACATTATATATATATATATATATATATATATATATATATATATGTGAGAGAGATTATATATGTTAAACTCTGAGTGAACAAATAAGTTTATGAAAGTGAATGTGTATGGCAAAGGCTTAGGGTTTTATGCCAAGGGTCAGGGAAGTTGGACAAAGCTGCAATTTTGCTAAGTCTCAAATGGAGCTAGAGGTTGAACCTCTAGTTCATGTGACTATGCATAGGTCAGTTTCCTGCTTCTGCTTTGGTTTGAGCAGACTTCAGCTTTATACCACGTGAGCGTCTATAATCCTCACAACATGCCTTTTTCTGTGATAAGTAATCTTAAAAAGATAGAGGTCTTGGGTAAGCAGTAAGGCACACAAAATAGTAGCATCGATCTTTCATTACCTAATCTTGAAATGTTAAGTCTGATGTCTTGGCCATAAAGACTTATGAGAAAGCAATGGGTAGGGTAGGTACCACAGAAGAGTATGAGTGTCTGGAAGCAGGGCCATCTTGGAATCGAGCTACATAAAATGATAATGAAACATTTCAGACTGTTCCCTATTTCAAGGATATGGATACATGGTATGTTGTCATTAAATTATTTCAGGGGGATAATGATGCTCTTTTAAAGGAACAGAACCATCTAAACTTTGAGAGCCTCTGTAGTCAACTTTATGTGTAACTCACCAAAGTGTTTACCACTGATCTAAATATAAGACTGGGGAGTGTCAAGGACAACTAATAAATAAGTGAACAACAAAAGGAGTCTAATATTGTGTTGGAGAGATGGATCAATGATTAATAATGCTTTTGTACAAATCCTGGGTTCACTTCCTAGTGCCAACATGGGATGGCTCAAAATGTCTAGTAACTCCAACTCCAGGGACCTGACACTATCTTCTAGATTCTGTAGGTACTGTACCAGTACACACACACACACACACACACACACACACACACACGCACGCACGCACGCACGCACGCACGCGCGCGCACGCACACGCACACACACATACCACCCATACACATAATTAAAAACATAAAAATGAAATCTTTTTAGAAATAAGGGTAACATAGAGATGAGGCAGGAAGTAAAAAGAACAACTTAGTGAGTGAGTAATACTCATCAACTACCCAAGTTTTAATATCCTTTGAGCAGGGACAGCTTCTGCTTTCAGCAGGAGTTGAGAGGACTAGCTTGGCAGTGTGAAACAGGTGGTAAGGGTGGTTGGTACGTTAGTAGGATGAGTATATAACTTACGGTCCAAACCAGGCCACTATTTAGAGCAAAAAGGGGTGCTATCAATAACCATGCCAAGGTAAAAGCATAAACTGGCGATATCTGAGACTATCATAAGCATATATTCACCCTGTAAATTAGAGCCATTTATTTTGAGCCACTTTTACTATGAGGAGCTTATAATAGGTGAGTTTTGTAAACACTCCCTTGAAGCTTGCTTTTTGTACTTTCCACATGACTGTCTTATCCAGGAAAAAAAAAAAGCATAGAATGAAGCAGGCATCGCAGTGAGCTGTCTCCTGACAAAAACACAGCCTTTTCAGGGAGGATTGATTTGTAAAGATGTTGTCTAAGAATTCAGACTGCTCTCAAGGAAATTACCCATCATTAGGGATTTGAGAAAATCCTTTACTGCAATTTCTCTTATATGAGCACCACATAGAAGGTCTGTTTAATTTTACAAAATTTCTTTTCATATGCATCTAATTAAAGTATCTTTTGAGTCCATCATGTTGTATTCAAGTTAATTAAATAGAAAAAAATTTAATGGCTCTCTATTAGATTTTCCTGGTTAATGTCATAGGCATCCATTGATTTTTTTAATTAGAGATTTTTGTTAATGGATTTTCACAAATTAAAGTCTGCCTAATAACCAGCATTTCTCTGGATGTTCTCTGGATACTTGCTGGGAATTTGGCAAGACCACGAGGGCATGTTGGGAAGTATGCCTTTTCAATGTCAGTTTCCTACAGAAGTCTAAAATGCAATTAGAATTCCTGCTGATAAACTTTGTTACTCCATGGCTTTTTCCTTCTCTTGCAAATATTCACAGACCACTTAGGGAGAAAGTGTATAACTGGTAACATTCACTTGTACCCAGACATGGACTATCTGGCCTCCTTCATGAGAGTCCAAGTGAGTTGTCATAACTCTGGGTAGAAAGTAATACTCTACATTTTCTCTGGCTACACTGATAATAAGGAATTGTAGCAGGCTTTCTTTGGGCCACCAACTAGCTCCCAAATAAAGACAGAGACTATTATTAGTTATGAATGCTAGCCTTATCTTATGCTGTCCCACTAGCTCTTATAACCTAATTTAACCTTTTTCTCTTTATCTACATTTTGTCTCAGGGCTTTTTACCTTTCTTTGATTCTTTATGTCCTACTTTTCCTGCTTCTTTTGTGTCTGTAAGACTGGTGGCTACCTGGTTGGCTGGCCCTGGGCATCTTCATCTCTTTTTCCCTCATTCTGTCTTCTCGAGACTAGATTTCCTCTCTTATTTATTTTCTCTGTCTACCAGCCCCACCTATCCCTCTACTGCCTAGCTATTGGTCATTTAGGTTTTTATTAGACCAATCAGGTGCCTTAGGCAGGCAAAGCAACACATTTTTACATCATTAAATGAATGCAGCATAAACAAATGTAACACACCTTTACATAAAGTAATATTCTGCAACATAAGAAATGTAACACATCTTAACATAGTTAAAGTACTATTCCACATTTCCCCTTTTTTGTCTACATAAAAAGAAAGGTTTTAACTTTTACATAGTAAGACTAAACACAATAAGAACAATTAATCAATTAAGAATTACATTTACAATATCTAGTCCATTTGTATTTGAAAGATTCAGAGAAAATACTCCATTATATATCCTATTTTGATGAGGCCAAAGTTTTGTATCTAATTTACCTTCTATCATAACTAAGGAAAACTGTTACTATAACTATCTAGTCTTCAACTCCATCAAAGACACCAGAAGAATATATTACCTGAGTAAACAAGAAATGCTGTGTAAGCCACTTCCAAAATTATAGAAATGACAGAGACATTTGGCTGTCTGGACAGTCACCCAAGGTTTCTCTGAAGCATTGAGCACCATCTTCAGTCTACAGACCTAGAATAACTGGTAGACATTTCTGTGAAGCAGTAATTTGGAAGGACTGTCCTGCTTTATCTTAGCAAAGTTTGGCAGTTGCTTTCCTTTGTGTCCAGTTTGGATGGTATACTGTCAGCAGTCAAAGAAAAGACAGTTTCTTGCCCAAATGATAGCTTTGCCTCAATGAAAGCAAACTCCATATGGGGGTTCTTTGCTGCCCACCATCCTTTTATGAAGTAGCTTGGTGCTGCCAGGAGCAGACATGCCTCACTGTCCTGAACAGCCCTATATTAACAAAACATTTTAAATGCCATATTCTGTAGGTCTTTGAAGTGTTTGAAGACCATCTATCTATCTATCTAAAATATATCTCTGTTTGATCTTGAAAACATACTTAAGATAACTACAAGTTTGATTGTTATAGATGCCTAACTACCAACTTTCATTTCTTAATTATCCTAAATGATTTATAATAATAGTTTTAGAGAACTAAAACTTTTGCCTTACATTTTTTAAATGAACTGCATAGGTACAATTCCTTAAACAAGAGTAGAAATATATATATATATATATATATATATATATATATATATACATACATATACATATACAGTATGTTATAACAAAAATCCTTAAATTTCTATCAATATATAAAAATCCATACCCATGTAAAATATTTGAGAATAGTTACTTTTTAGTTTAAAGTAGATTCAACAATCTACCCTTTTATCCTTTCATTCTTATATTCCTTTATTTCTTTTCAGAGAAAGTTCCATTGCTTAGTTTTTTCCTAACCATGACCAATAAGAATTTGCAACCAACCCTCCTAAGTGATGACAAACATCCATTACTTACCAAATAACCAAAAACCATCCACCTCACCCCTTGGGACTGTGGATGTTGTGTTCCCCAGACTGCTTCCTGTTGTCTGAGGGTAATGGCATCTTTAGGGGGCCCTGAGAAAATTGAGATAATGGTCAAGTACTGGGTATAACTAGTTGTAATATTTGTTGTCCAGTCTTAGAACTGTTTCCATGCAGAGGTATCAACATATGTGTCAGGTCCTTTAGTCGTTCTAGTTTATTTCTTTGTGTCTATAGCCAAGATTTTCAGGAGGTCTCCCAGGTCAAATCTGATTTCTATTAACCTTGAAGGAATCCTATGGAAACAAAAGCATTACCTCTTTCCTGACACAATACCTTTTCTGGCTTTCATTTTAAAGTTAAGACATCCCTAAAGTATCTAGGCTGGTTAAATTCAGCAGTCCCTTTTACAATCCCATGTCTTTTAACAGCTGTTGTTCATTCATCAGCATTCAAAAAAATTCAAAGTCAACACAGCACTATACAGGATCCAGACTCCCTGTGTATTTCCCATATTTATGTGGCCTTTTCCCCCTTTACATACCTTACTCTTTTTAAGTACATTACTATTATTTTTAAACTACTTATTTTTTCCTATGACCATCTATATGCATTTTTGTTTCTTTCTTAAGCCTACACACATTTTTTAAAACACACTGTAACCTGTTTAGAGGTCCCCCCCCCCTTGAACCTGTCTTTACTGAATGTCTCTAGCCTTTTCTGACTGTGTAAGCCAAACCTTAACCTGCTAAGCTACATTTATGCCCCTCACTGTGGCTCTGGCAACTGGCTCTGCCCCCTCCTTGGGTATGTATGAGAGATGAGTCTTATGACTGTTTAAGTGTTTAACCAGGAGCTGCATTTAACCACTCCAGCTCTAGGAAGCTGATGACCACACTGTGGCTTTTTTTTTCTAAGCTTGCTGTTTCTACTTAACTTGCAGGCTACTCAAGTGTTTGCTATATTGCAGAGCCTCTTAAAGGAGCCATATCTTATCTTTCTTTTCTTTCTTTCTTTTGTTTCCCCAGCTATCTCAGGTCCTATGTGGAAATATGGGCATGTTAAGTGCCCAATGTAGCAGGCTTTCTTTTAGGCCACCAACCAGCTCCCAAAATAAAGACATGGAGACTTATTACTAGTTATGAATGCTTGAACTATTGTTACATAGTTTAAATTCCACAACAAGAAATCATTGGCCAATGTAGAGTTATCAGGATATATATATACACACACAGTCTACCATTCTGTGCTTTCTTCTTCTCTTCAGTTTCTGGAAAGCAAAAGAAAAGTGGCACTAATTGCCCAAGGCTTTGATTTAGTCCTAGAAAAAACTTCTGGTTGGTTTTAATCTCCCATCTTTGGCTGGACAAAGCACAGCTCAGGTCTTGCCAGTTTTAGAGGCTTAAGGGCATAAAGGAGTAATACCACATTCTTACTGTAATGGGCTTCTTCTTAGCAAAACATTCAAAAGTCATTCTGAACTTGAAGTTCTGTGTCAAATAGAAGCTTGAAGGATGCTCCCAGGTAAAGCTGAGTCTTCAGTGCCAGCCTCTGGTCTTGAAGAAGACAAAGTTGAAACCTCAGGGAAAGGAGAAGGAGAGAGATTACTTTGTGGAATGATTGTGAAGTTCTCAGAGCAGCACCCATCCTCAGCTTCTATTTCATGTAACAGGACATGATAAAGGTCTCCTAAGATGCCACATCCTCATAGGACCAGCTTGTGGGAGAACTATAGTTATCACATGTGGCAATCAACTGGTCCCTTTTATTAGGCAACCAATTATCACTTTATCATGATTACATAGATGTAGCTATCTCATCTTCATTCAATTCATTGAACCATCTTCAATGAACAAAATTCAAGGTAGTAGTGACAAAATAAAGCAAGCCCACTCCATCTCACATCTTGCCTGGGGAGACAGAAATCCTTCCATTTATATCTTTCAGATTGCATGCACCCTCTCAATTTATCTAGTGGTCATTTCACATAACCGACTTCTATAAAAATTGCCATGAAAGTTGCAGGAAGACAAGGAAGCTCTGAGTGAAGGTGTAGAGTTAATAATGCCCTGAGTGAATGTGCAAAAAGTAAATGAAGTCTTGAATGAATGTGTATTGTTGGCACAACCACACTAAATACCAGTAATGCCTCAGATGCATGGGAAATTAGCAAAGCCTTCCTCTCAGGTCAGGATCACAGGAATGGGAATATTTCCTCTTTTCCTAATGTGAATGTTGGCAGTGTATATGAAAACTAGCTACTGAAGCTCTTCCTCTCAGATGTTTACAGACTGAGACCACTCATCTATAGAGATCTCTTATTGAGACTAGCTAGCCTCTTCCTCTGCACTATGCATAATAAACAGCTGAGGTTGAGGGTTGTTGCTGTACCTGAAGTGGCTCTGTCAGAGCATGAATGCCCTGCCTGATCCTAGCTTTTCTGTATATGTGTCTTCCTTTCTTCAGTGTCTGTCCTGTCTTCATTCCCTCTCTGTTCCTAGTCAAGTCACCAAGAGAACACAGAGAGTACTACTAAAAGTCATCTCAGATCTCTGTGTCTGAATATTGGAAATGTTTTCAATAGGAAGAAGGAAATTTAGTGCTTAACTCTATATTGTCTTTAATTATTTTTTTTAGCTATTTCCTGTAACTCTAAGGGAAATAATACCTTAGAGGTAAGTACATTTATTCAACTTTTCTTACATTTTCTGATATTGTCCTCTATACCAACCTCTGCCTTCCCAAAACATTCACCTCACCCTTTTCTTTCCAGGATTATCCCAGATGAAATACACCTTAAACTGGTCACCATTTCTATGATCATTGTGTGCCAGTCAATGTTCTATGCATTTATTTATGATTTAAACTGCAGCACTATGAAGTAGGTGCCTATATTAATGTCCTATTACCAATGAGAACACTTAGGAATATAGAGGTATTTACATAACCCCCCATAGGTAATAAATCAAGTCATGGGTAGCATGGCCTTTCTTTAGAGCCCACGGTTTAGTGACTCCCCCTCATAAGAGGAGTTTCCATTGTGTTCTCAATATCTAGATTGGAGTTTGTAACAAGTTACAGGTCTGATTTTCACTTTATGTTAACAGGTGAGCTTTTGTTTAGTAGATCATGAATCAAAATGAAGGATCAAATGTAAAGTGTTTTGTACAGTTTGGAGAAGATCGTCATCTTGTTAGCCGTGACATGGACATGAGGTTTATTTTCCTACATGGAATAATCTAATTCAGAGGAAGTTCAAATTCTGGTATCCTTCCTTTTCAACCAGATAAATTATGGGAAAATATAAAATAAGAAAGATGTTAGATACTAAAGACTTTGCTTTTGTTGGAAGTGAACTGATGTCTAGAGAGATTTAAGCAATGTCAATAAAGAATGGAGAAACAAGGCTAGTGTGTTGCTACTATAGCCATATCTTGGAGTTTTCCATGACTATAGGAAAATAAAAGCCTTTAACCCTGGGCTATACTCCACATAATATGGGAATGATGGTTCAGGGGGAAAGGGAGAATATAGCAGAAGTAAGTCATGTTTCAAGCTTCTTATAGAATAGACTTGGCATACAAGTGATGGGAAGGTCCTCTTTATTCCCAGACGAGATGCAGAGAAATTGAGAGCAATGAATGGATAAGACAAAGCCTTATTCAGGAAAAGATGCAGTTCTGAGTGAGACCACAAGAGAGGCCAGCAGAATAACACTAACCACTTCAGAGCTTGGAGACCCCTTTGTTCATGAATAGTACTAGAAGAGAAAAATAAAATGACCTGGTAACCTCACATGTGGACACAGGAATGATATAGAAAAAATCTAGGTAATGTAGGGATCTTTCTTTTGCTCCTCAACTTCCATGAAAACTGAGTTCCTCTCCAATATCAAGATACCACTGAGATGAAATAAAACGGGGTGAAATCTAAAAGACTAAGTATCCACTGTTACTTCTAAAGCAGTTACACTTGGGAAAATGACTTTGCATAGAATGGGGAAGAAACCTGAAGGGAGAATTTACATGTTTCAGGAAATATAACAAAATTATTTATCTGGCAAACCCAAATCCCAGTAGGGTGGGGTTTGTCACAAAAAATCCCTTGTGTAGAATAAAACGACATTACTATCATTTTCTTTTACATTTTAGTTTTTTCTTGAGCAAACATGGAATCATAGTATATACTGCATGGGTTGCTATGTTCTCTTCAACAAGCTAAAATCCCTTGGACTTGAGAACTGTAATGCTGAGTTTTTTCAGGTACTTCTGGCTTGACTTACAAGTAAGCATAGTGGATACCTAAGAATATTTGTTGAAATGTTGCCTTGGGTCCCAAAGACAGAGAATGCAGCTCTCTAGAACTTTCTCCCAGCCAATTAAAGAAAAGACAAATTCACACTGTATGGAATTCTTTTTGGATCCATATCCTTCCCTCACAGCTGTTTTCCTGCTGAGAGCTGGTTGGGGAATCCGAACTGGGCTCACCGCAGCCTCCTCTGGCTGTTTTTAACCCAGGGAGCAGCTTGAAAACAAGACAGGCCAATTAGTAGTGCATCTAATTTTTGTAATTTCCAAAACCTTCCGTCACAGCGAGGCTATTACAGGAAAATTAACCTGTAGCAGCTGAAATCATTCAGTGTAGAGTTTAGCCAGAGGCAGAAAACAAAACTGAGATATACACGGGAAGCACAGAGCTCTCCCTTTCCAAGGACTGAGAAAAGTCAGCCAAAATGTGAAAACCTTGTTCTTCCACCGACCCTCCCAATGCTTTGGGAGACAGAGGGCTGGGAACAGATATAAGCAAGGGAGGCCATACAATGGGATTGGCTTGGAGGTACTGTTTGTTACTCAGTGGCCTTGAGTGAATGAGCGTGGAGGACAGAAAATCAGATACAATGAGAAGGAAAACAGCTTCTGTAGCGAAGTCTGGTCCAAGAAGGCTCATAATTGAATATTTTAATGAATGAAATTTGAGGCTGTTGTCTGATAATATAATTGATATCTTCTTAGAGTCAAGGGTAAGAAGATTTTTCTTTAATAAATCAGATCTTTTGTCAAACATTGTTAATGAAATATCCTGAGTTGCTATTTTTGTTTAAATTACATTTATTTATTTATTGTGTGTGAGTGTGCATACATGCACGCGCGTGTGCATGTGCATGTGCGCGTGTGTGCGTGCGTGTGTGCGTGTGTGTGTGTGTGTGTGTGTGTGTGTGTGTGTGTGTGTGTGTATGCCATACCACATATCTTGGGGTCTGAGAACAACTTTTGGGAGGGAGTTTGTTCTCTCCTTCCACTGTTTAAGCCCTAGGGACCTAAGTCAGATCATCAGGCTTGGAGGCAGGTACCTACACTCACCAAGCCATCTCTCTGCCAAACTTGTTGTTCTTTATTAAGGAAAAAGTAGTAACTGATAGAATTATTTTGCAAATCTATGGTATCTATTTTTTCAAGACAGCCCATTCTGTGGCTGCTCACTAGGAAACAGGAAGATCTCAGTAATGAGTAGGATCTTCTGTACCCTGTACTAGGGCAAACAATCCCCTGACAAATCCTTCTTGAGACAGCCAGAGGGAATATTCACTTCTCCTGTCAGTAGACGTCAGCTCACCTGAGTTAGAGTTGTCCTGTCAGATCTTCTTTTCTTATGTAGCCTTGTCAGTGAAACCCAGTGACTAAACTCAATCTTTTGTTTCGGGGCTAGAGCCAATGATTAACTAGAGTCTTTATAAATACAAGCATGTAAATATATCTGGGAGAATGCATCCCAGGTACACAGTCATATGTGGCGATGGCACACAAAACAATTTATAGAATTCCCAGTGTCTTTCTAGAACTCATGAAGCTGCACATTAAAAAGTACAGATTTCCACCTTTAACGAGCACTCAATGGTCCCGAAGAGCTGGTATTTTCTTCAGCACTGGGAATTGAACTCACACCTTCATGAACACCAGGCAAATGTTCTACAGAGCTACACCCACAGCCAGAAGAGCTTGTGAACAAAGCGGCTTTGGGGACAGAAGGTCTGTTACAGGTCTGGGTTATGCATTGCAAGCACACTTTAAGGCAGTGCGGATGCTGCTGGCTCACACTTCACAGCTAGCCTGGGATGAAACAGTGCCACACTCACTCAGAAACCAAAATAAACCTGGAGAGAGCTCAGTCTCTCTACACCCTTCCCTGCAATCTGGGTAAGTGACACAAATGCCAACTAAAGTGCACTCAGTGCAAGTTGCAAACAGTTGTGGTTCTGCGTGCGAGTTGTGGTTCTGTGTGGGAGTGCAAATGAAACGTACCCTTCACCAAGTGGTGAAGACTTCTGGGCTCCTGATTTAGGACTACATCAGCCGGAGGTCTGATGTTCAGGAATGTGTTTTTGCCTCTCAAAAGGCACTGGTAGAATGCTACTGAGATGGGTCTTAGTCAGAAGCCCAGCAGAAAATGCTTTTTAGTGACTTTCCCTAAGAACGGTAAATAATTATCACTTTCCATTTTGTCTTTACTCAAAGCTTTCACAAAACATCATGTATTTTAGGCTATGAACTTTGACATAAACTAGATAATAGAATGGAAGAC